TTCTAAATGGTGAGGAAGTTAAGAGAGTTGCAAGATACAATGGACTGTTCTAAACTCGGGGATAAATTTATATCATAGGGTAACCTCAAAGAAAAATGACAAACCTTGACATGACAATAAAAAAGAGGACAAGCACAAATATTCAGCATATACTAATACAACAGCAACAAAGGAAATGATAACACGATTGATAACACGATTCATAAACATAATGAGCTCAGTACAGAAAACAATATGGAACAAAGAAACTAGGGACACCATGAAAAACAAATACCAAAATGACAGCAACCAATTCATACTTGTGAATAATTACACTGAATGTTAATGGATTAAATGCACCACTCAAGATACGGAGAGTTGTAGATTGGATAAGAAAACCCATCAATATGCTGCCTACAAGAGAAACACCTTAGAGATAAAGACAAAAATAGTGTGAAAATCAAAGGTTGGAAAAAAGATATATCAAGCAAATGGCAACTGTAATAGAGCAGGAGTGGTGATATTAATTTCTGATCAAATTGACTTTAAGACAAAAACCACCATACAAGACAAGGAAGTACATTATATAATGATTAAAGGATCAATTGAACATGAAGATATAACCATAATAAGTATCTATGGACCCAATGAAAGATCCTCAAAATACATAAATCAGACTTTAAAAGAGTTGAAAAGCCAAATAGATGACTCCACAGTCATAGTGGGAGATCTTAGTACACCACTTTCATTGAAAGATAGAACAACTGGAAAGAAACTCAACAAAGATGTAGAAGAGCTAAACATTACAATCCAACAATTTGTCCTTATAGACATCTACAGAGCACTTCACCAAACAACAGCACAATATACATTCTTCTCTAGTGCACATGGAACATTTTCCATGACAGATCATGTGTTAGGCCACAAAGCAAGCCTTCATAATTTTAAAAACATTGAAAAACTGCAAAGCATCTTCTCAGATCATAATGCTATCAAATTAGAAATCAACAATAGGAAGATCAACAGAAAAAGAGAAACACATGGAAACTGAACAGTACCCTCCTTGAGAAAGAGTAAGAGAAGAAATATAAAAGGAGGGGTCGCTATGAGTCGGGGTCGACTCGACAGCACATAACAACAACAAAAATGAGAATGATAATACAACATACCAAAATCTTTGGGACACAGCAAAAGCAGTGATCAGAGGCCTATTTATAGCAATAATTGCACACATCCAAAAAGAAGAAAGAGCCAAAATCAACACTTTAAACCAACATCTCCAACAGTTAGAAAAAGAGCAAGAACAGCCTACAGTCACCAGAAGAAAGGAAATAACAACGATTCGAGCAGAAATCAATGAAATAGAAAATAGAAAGGCAATAGAAAAAAATCAACAAGACCAGGAGTTGGTTTTTTGAAAAGATCAATAAAGTTGACAAACCACTGGCAAATTTAACAAAGGAAAAGAGG